TTAATAAGTTATACTTACACACAATTTACTTGTAATCTTGAATTTTAAGTAATATGTATTAATAAACAATACTTCATGCATTAAAAACGGTTTTTAAAAGTTTTTGTTAAATGTTTTATAACATAGTATAGATAATAATATTTTATTCCATTCGAATTTAAAATGTTATTAAATACTCCATCACTACATATATAAAACCCATTTTATTGCATGGTGATGTAGAGGGCAACCAAAAGGTTAGTGTCATAACACGTATATAAGTGATTGGTAGAAGGGACAATTGATACCAACAATGCTTAAGATCGGAGATAGCAAGATTAGTGATATTAAGTGATGCCAAATGGAAACGACAAACTCCATTAAAATAAAAAAAATTCACATTTATATATATACATGTAATGTAAACACATTAGTATCACAAGTAACTTGCAATCAAGCTACAGCCATGGACTCTTTTTCACTTGCACTGCTCATCCTTCTCACCGGAACTTTGTTTTGCTACTGGTGCTTCACTCATCTCCGCCACAACAAACTACCACCTGGTCCCATGCCTTTACCAATCATCGGAAGCCTCCATTTATTAGGGAACCTCCCCCACCGTGCCCTTCATAAGCTATCCCAAAAGTACGGGCCCATCATGTCCATCCGCCTCGGCTGCGTTCCGTTTGTCATAGTCTCTTCACCGGATGCCGCCAAACTCTTCCTTGGAACCCATGATGCTGTGTTCGCTTCTCGACCCGAAATCCAAGCCTCCAAGTACCTGTCCTATGGCTCTAGAGGAATGACTTTTGCGGAATATGGACCATATTGGCGGAGTGTAAGGAAGTTTTGTGCGGCAGAGCTGCTGAGTGCCACCAAGATCAACAGTTTTCTTGGTATGAGAAGGGAGGAGATTGGGCTGATGTTGGCGGAGATTAGGGCGGCATCAACGGTACATAAGGTGGTCAACGTGAATGAAACCGTAGGTGGGTTGATTGAAGCGATGACTTGTAGGATGCTTTTTGGAAAGAAAAACGATGAGAGGTTTGTTTTCAAGACCCTAATTGATGACAGCATGGAAGCAACAGGTACCTTCAATTTGACAGACTATGTGCCAGTATTTGCTTGGTTTGATCTTCAGGTGAATTTCATAAGCTTCCCTTCAGTTTTAGTTATCTCAGCTTTTTCACTCTTAACAGAAAACTAGAATCATTAAAACCAGAAAACAATTATATATATATATATACATATATATATACACACACACACATACAGAGATCATTTTCGTACAGTTTCGGCTAAACAAAAACAATATCTAGATGTCACTAGCATTTGACGATTTCATAGATACCATGATTTTAATTGCATGTATAATATATACTCGTATTTCTGAAACCTACGAAGCAAGTATAATAGAATAAGATAATCGAGAGAAGAAAAACCAAAACAAGATTTGAAGAATCATACACCAAAATCGTGAGACTTACAACAATTAAGCTTTTGTACATTGATATGAGATTAGTTTTCTTGTGAGATCTAACATAAAATCACAGTTCTTGTGATCCCAAATTGCAGGGTTTGACTAAACGCTTTAAGTCGTTAAGCAAGGACATCGATGAAATGTTCGAGATAATGATCAAGGAGCATGAAGAACGCAGTTCTACCTGCTCTCAGAGACCGGATCAAATGGACTTCATTGATGTATTGCTGTCACTAAATCATCATAACTCAAACACCCATGACGAGTTATCCTCTACCATTGACAGATCAAGTATGAAAGCCATTTTACTAGATATGGTAGCCGGTTCCATTGACACTGCCAAAACGTCTATCGAATGGATAATGTCTGCTCTTATTAGACACCCTAGAGTGATGAAGAAACTCCAAAAGGAGTTGAACATGATCGTTGGAGATACAAAAATGGTGGAGGAGACGGATTTGACAAAATTATGTTACTTACATATGGTAATTAAGGAAACTCTTCGTCTATATCCGGTTGGTCCATTAATGGTTCCCCATGAATCAATAGAGGATACACTGATTAACGGTTACAACATACCAAAAAAGACACGAGTTCTAGTGAACGTTTGGGCATTTGGGCGAGACCCAAAAGTTTGGTCTGAGAATTGGGCAGAGTTTCTTCCTGAGAGGTTTCTGGGTAGAGAAACCGACTTTCGTGGATCAGATTTTCAGCTTATACCATTTGGAGCTGGAAGAAGAGGGTGTCCTGGAATGAATTTGGGATTATTGAACATTGGCTTGGTAGTTTCCAATATGGTCCACGGCTTTGATTGGGTGCTTCCCAATGGCATGTCACCAAATGACTTGGATATGAAAGAAAAATTTGGATTAACTACCCCTAGGGAAAAGCCCTTACTAGCCATTCCAATAAACCGCAAATAAGGGAGATGGGCATGTGTGAATATGTAGTGTTTGGAATTTGCTTCAAATTGTCCTTTGTATTGCCTTGGAATTTGCTTCATCTCATCCTTTGTTTTGCTTCATGTGTGAATATGTACTGTTTGGAATTTGCTTCTATAACGGATCACACATCCTCTAGGAATAAATTGCAACTATCTTCGCAATAATTTGAATTTGAATTTAGTCAAAGTCTGTTGTAATCTATATTTGATATCTCTTGTATTTCTCCTAAACTCTAGCCTTGGTATCCCTTGTATTTCTCCTAAACTCTAGCCTCTCCTTTGTATATTTATATGGTTATTGTGAATATAATATTCATTCAAGCCAAATTAATATTCATTACCTATATGGTATCAGAGCATCACACGCTCTAAAGAGATCCATCGATCATCTCCCTCTCTCAATCTCCCTTGTCATCTCCATGGCACAAAGCACAACCCTAGTTCATCTCACTGCCTCAACCCATTTCCCTATCAAACTGGCCACCACAAACTTTCATGTATGGCGGCGACAGGTGCAATCCACACTTGTTGGATTAGGTCTGGACGATTTTATCACTGAGAAGAGTGATTTTCCAACAAAACTATCACCGACAAAGAAACTGTCAAGACCAATCCCGATTACACTGCTTGGTATCACCAAGATAAAGTAATATTCAGTGCTATCCTTGGATCATGCTCAGACCCAATCCAACCTGTCATTGCCTTCACCTCTACTGCAAAAAAAGCCTGGGAGTGTCTCAACATGAGCTATGCCAGCAGCTCTCGTTCAAGGATCATCTCTTTGAAGTCCAAACTTGCAAAAAATCCCAAAGGAAATCGACCAATCACCGAATTCCTAAATGAGATGTGCTCCATTGCGGATGAGTTGGCACTTGTCCAAAGCCCGATTCATGAAGAGGACCTACTGGTACACATCCTAAGTATATTGGTGATGAATACACCTCAACAACTACTGCAATAAAATTTCGTGAAAACTCGATCTCTTATCCGGAACTTTTCGATAAACTTGTTGACTTCGAACAATCTTTGAAAGAGGTGGAGTCTACTGCAGCACATAATGGTTGTTAAAGCAAACTACTCTCAGCGATAATCAAACCGTACCCATAATCGCTCCTCCTCAGACTACTCGAGCCGCAATAGTCGCTCTCCTTCTGGGTACAACAATAGAGGAAATTGACCCTATTTTGCCCAACAAAACCCTCAGGGGAAGACCAATAGGTCCCATCTGTTTTGCAAATACTGCAACATACTAGGTCATGAAACACGTGAGTGTTGGAAGCTTGCCAAATTCTTAAGAGACAACAACATCCTGGTTTCCACCAGTCCCGTCACAAATGCCACATCTTCAGGGATTAAAACGAGCCCCAATCACAAGTCATGGTGTCACGCGCTGATTTTTTTTTCTTTCGTTCGAGTGTCGTGATGTCATTCTTAATAACTTATGCCATGAACACAATACGAACTTAAAAATTCAAACATACATAATGTGTTAAACGTAATTCGTTACATAATTGTGGAAGCGTAAAATATTTTAACGTAATCAATGCTAATTAAATATCTAATCAACCATGATTCAAAACATAGTTTCATCTTTTTTCATTCAACTCGTCTACTGACTATTGATACCTGAGATATATACATGTATAGTATAAGCTAAAAGCTTAGTGAATACAATATGGTTTAATGGTCACATACAATTCGTGTTCTTTAGTGTATTTTAGTTATTATCTTACAAGTGAGGCCTCGACTCGTCAGTTTTCTTTGCGTATGTGGTGTCTTCTATGGACGAGGACTTCAAGACCTCGGAATTGCAAGCCCTCCTTTCATGTCCAACCCACCCCGTAGGGTCATTTTGGTAATTTCATAGGGATTAGATTTAAAATAACACTTAGATACCAATTCCCAAGACATTGGGTCATTTTGGTAATTTGTAAAGCAAATACGTAAAGTATTGCTAAAATACCGATTTCCAAATATAGGGTCGTTTTGGTAATTTTATAAAAATAATAATATAAAAATGAAGCTCATAGACCAATCCCAAAGATATATGGTTATTTTGGTAAATTTTGGAAGCAAATGCACAAAGTATTGTTAAAATACTGATTTCTCATTTATAGGGTCATTTTGGTAATAAATGAGATAAATAATCGAAATTGGGTCAAAGTTTGCATTTTACAAAATATAAATAAACTTGATGAAAATCTCATAAAGTTATTATGAAGAAAATTATTTTCTGAAACTTCAGCGGGTTCAATGCTAATTTCTGAATCTTAAATATTTAGTGCATATTAATAATTTCAGTGCATAAAAGTAATAAAATTCATAGTTAACTTACTGGTTAATGCATTGAAGCTACGAGATTGAGGTTGAGGGTTCGAATTCTACCCTCAGCGCCTTTATCCCTTTTTTTATAAAGGAAAACGGATGCGGGTCAGGTCTTACCCGTCCGACCCGGTTCCCGACCCGGTCGCACCAGCATCCATGGCTGCACTAGAGTTTTAAACTCGAAAATGGTTTATTTCTTGATCTTTTTTCTTCGTTCTTTTTGCACCAAACTTTTGGTAATATTTTTACCAACACTTTGACATTAAGAAGACGAATTTTCATCAGGAAATGAGTTTCATTTACTCATTTAAAGTTTGTTTTTAAAACTAAAATTCAACAATTTCAAAACATAAAAATCGAACCACATAAATACAAATATGAGACATGAGGCTACTGAGGTTTGTTAGAGTACTTAAAAATGAAGCCATAGACATAAAAATCAAGAGATTTGGTTAAGAATCTCACCCAAAATCGGTGAAAAAAGCGAGATTTTCAATACGGACCTCAAACTCAAATTTCTCTCTCAATATTTGCTTATTTTCTAAGCTATTTGAACCAAAATGATCCTAAGTCGGTGCTCTATATTTATATGCAAGAGTTTTGGCTTATTAGTTGACGAAATCGGATCAAATCGCGTGTTTTTGGCTGAGGGGTCGTTTTCTTCAAACAAACATGTACTATTGGCAAAACAAGTCCCTCATCTTTGAAAAATATGACATTTCCCCCCTGAACTTTCTGACATTTACAACCAGACCCCTCCTAACGTGATATATCACATTTTTGGTCCAATAATAAAAGAAAACAATTTTATTTTATTTTTCTTTTTGTCTTTCTTTTTATTGTTTATTTATTTAAGATTTCTACAATTATTTTCTTTAATTAATTACGTAAATATTTTAACATTTCAAATGAATTTAATAAAAAAAAATATTTAAAGGCTCATATAATATTGTTTAGATACTAAAAAAATTGGGCTTTACACATGGCTTGCGAATATTGGTGCATCAAACCATCTCACATCTGATCAGTCAACACTACACTCTGTTTCTGAAAATGGGGGACCGGATGAAATCCTTCTAGGTGATGGTACAAACCTCTCTATCTGTCATACTGGTCACACTCATATTGTGATAACTTGATCTTAGTTATCATCCGAGGTAAATAATATGTGATTATCTGATTAAATGATTACGTGATAGCATGATAATTTATTACGTTTGATCATGCTAGTATGCGAAAATTAATTGTATAATGTGGTTATGTGTATCAGAATATGTATATATGTAGAAATATATATATATATATATATATATATATATATATATAGGGACAAGATCAAATGTTAACCAAAGTTTTTGTGTTAACTTTGCAAATCATGTCAACCAATCACAATCCATTCTTCTATTAGGTATCTTTCATGTTCACAATTTAATGCCAAGGGTAATTGAGTCATTTCATTTGCTATGTAACTCTCATACCATTAAAGAGGAGTTACAAAATCATAAAATTCCTAAAAATATACATTTATAATATTGATATTTTTATTTATTTTTTTATTCTTGATCTTYCATTTTTATTGTTTTATGAGTTTTTGATTCGTGGAGGAAACACGGTAGTAAAATCTTCGGTATCGTTCAAGCTATTATGGATAAACACATTGAGAAAAAATCGACAACATTGAGAAGATTAAAATGGTTTATGGTGACAATCGGAGTTCGAGTTCGGGAAATGAAGAAATTAACCAAAGCGAATGTCTTCGTAATGGATTAATATTTTATTAAACTCGTTTTAATCGAAATTATGTTTATTATGATGTGTTGTGTTTCTTGTAGTTCATATTGTGTTGATAACTTTTTTCTTTAATTATTAATACGTATCTAATTCACATGTTCAAATGGAAGTACATGCACGACTCATTTTCATATTGTCATATTACCGACTTGTATGAATCATAAATCATCGTTTTCATGTTACTTCTATCATATGAATACAAGTGTTATTCTTTAAGCTTGATACCAAATCTTTATATTTGTGTAAGTGTTTGCACCAGATGTTCATAGCGTCGGGGTTTTGTGTTCATATATTTTATATGATATGAACAAGGGGTGAACAACCACATAAGACTAAAACATATATGAACAAGGAGTGAACCTTAAACCGCGTGGATGCAATGCATGTATAAAACTCCAATTGACAAATGATCGCTCCTGAATATGTTTATAATGAAAGAACTATTGTTCACAAGCTGTTCATATCGTGTTCATACATGTTTTTTTTATTTATGTCATTTCGTATAGCAGTTATTCTTATTATGTTCATATTGTGTTCATAAATGATATGCAGCCAAAGTTCATATATATGTCGATTTTTTGTTCGTATTTGACACAATGGTTCATATGTATATAGTTGTGTACATATAGTTTTACATTAACAAAAATCATAGAATTTTTTGATTTTGTAACTCCCAATTAATGATATGGGAGTTACATAAAAAAATTACCTAAATACCCATTTCAACTTTGTTCACTTATCTTTATGAAATTTTAAAATTAAAAAAATAAGTTTTTATCATGATTAATCACAACCGTTTATTGAAARATTGAATGGCCAAGATCGGTTAACAAAGTTAACACAAAAACTTTGGTTGACATTTGA